TTTGCCATAAACCACCGAACAGCCACGGGTTTAACCGATACTCTGGGCAATTTGCCATAAACCACCAAACAGCCACGGGTTTAACCGAAACTCTGTGCAATGTGCCACAAATCACCGAAAAGCCATCAGTTTAATCAATACTCTGGGCAATTTGCCATAAACCACCGAACAGCCACGGGTTTAACCGATACTCTGGGCAATTTGCCACAAACCACCGAACAGCCATCAGTTTAATCAATACTCTGGGCAATTTGCCATAAACCACCGAACAGCCACGGTTTAACCGATACACTGGGCAATGTTGCCCTAAACCACACCGAACAGCCACGGTTAAAACCGGTACTCCTGGGCAATTGCCACAAATCACCGTTTAATCAATACTCTGGGCAATTTGCCATAAACCACCGAACAGCCACGGGTTTAACCGATACTCTGGGCAATTTGCCACAAACCACCGAACAGCCATCAGTTTAATCAATACTCTGGGCAATTTGCCATAAACCACCGAACAGCCACGGGTTTAACCGATACTCTGGGCAATTTGCCACAAATCACCGAACAGCCATCAGTTTAATCAATACTCTGGGCAATTTGCCATAAACCACCGAACAGCCACGGGTTTAACCGATACTCTGGGCAATTTGCCACAAACCACCGAACAGCCATCAGATTAATCAATACTCTGGGCAATTTGCCATAAACCACCGAACAGCCACGGGTTTAACCGATACTCTGTGCAATTTGCCACAAATCACCGAAAAGCCATCAGTTTAATCCATACTCTGGGCAATTTGCCATAAACCACCAAACAGCCACGGGTTTAACCGATACTCTGGGCAATTTGCCACAAATCACCGAACAGCCACGGGGTTAACCGATACTCTGGGCAATTTGCCATAAACCACCGAACAGCCACGGGTTTAACCGATACTCTGGGCAATTTGCCATAAATCACCGAACAGCCACGGGGTTAACCGATACTCTGGGCAATTTGCCATAAATCACCGAACAGCCACGGGGTTAAGCGATACTCTGGGCAATTTGCCATAAATCACCGAGCAGCCACGGGTTTAACCGATACTCTGGGCAATTTGCCATAAATCACCGAACAGCCACGGGGTTAACCGATACTCTGGGCAATTTGCCACAAATCACCGAAAAGCCATCAGTTTAATCAATACTCTGGGCAATTTGCCATAAACCACTCTCCTTCCTCTTCACAACACCTTGCACCAACACTGTCCGTGTCTGTCCGCGCAATGCGGTGGGGCCCAGGAATGGAACCTATCGACACAAAACACAAAAACAAAAACAGGAATCAACATAAACCAGATGTTCACCTTGAATCGAAATAGGCAGAGCCCTGGCTTTCCTTCTGGCCTCCCTTGAAAGCCAGCTAGACAAGGCGACCAACTCAAAAAAAACCAGCAGGCATTGACGATGAGCTTGGATACCAAGGTGTTGTGGAGGCCTTAAAATGGACCGCAGAGGTAGAACCTCACGCGAAGAAACCGCTGGCGATGCTCGAAACCGCCGTCAGACCACTGATGCCTTGAACTCTCGTGGGAGGTTTGCAAAAAGAAGCCTTGCCGGTCTACTTTTGGGTGTTTGTGCTTCAACCAGTAGGTGTTCATTCAAACCATCAGAACAATGCTGATTAGACCAATGTGTATGTTGATGATTAAAACCAATGTCTATGTTGAGTGAACCAATGGTTATCTTGTTGAAACCAATGTGTCTGTTGGTTAAATCAACATGTATGTTGATGAAACCAATGATTACGTTGGTTAAACCGACGTGTATGTTGATGACACCAACATTTTGTGTTGGTTGAATCAATGGTTATGTTCACTAAACCAATGTTTATGTAAATCAAATGCGTGTCTCTGTGGACACCATGGCAACCAACTCGCCGCTCGCCATGGCATCTCCCCGCTCGCCGCTCTCGCCCGGAGCTCCGGGCACCGCGGCGCCTGGTGGGCGAGGCGGCAAGTTCCCATCCCTCGGCGCCTCCTCCGTGCCTGCGGCGAAGCCGAAGCGAGGAGCTCCAAATGGCCAGGTTTTACCCACGGGGGTCTGGAGTGGGGGGGCCTTGCGGGCCTGGGAGTGTGGGGGTGCGGGCCGGCCTGGGTTGGCGGGTCTGGGCGGGGGGGGCGGGGCTGGGGCCTGGGGGGCCTGGGGGGCCTGGGGAGTGTGGGCCCGAAGCCCCGAGCTGGAGAGGGGGGGGTCTGGAGGCGATTGCCAAGGCCCTGAGGGCTTAAGAAGGCCTTCTGAGGCCCTCCTTTCCAGACCCCCTTGATGGGTTGGTCTAAAGCAAAAAACCAGTTGCTTAAGTCTCAGATGCCCAGTGGCCAAGGGGAAAAAAAGGAGCACCCTATTTTGTTGCTGGAGTTTAAAGGAACCGGAACCCTTCCCCAAAAGACACCGCTGGTCAACAAAGTAAGGGTAGATTTGAAAAACCTGGGCTTCCCATGCAAAAAACTTGCCACGATGGTCCCGGAGATAGCCAAATAGTCAGCACCCTATTAAAAGGGTTCGCAGGCGGGTTGACTGCGGGTTCCCAACCACTTCGACCATCTGCGTGCTCCAAATACCCAGACTTGTGCAAGGCACGATATCTTGAATATTTAGGTTCCAAAGGTACCCTGCTTCTTTGGTCTGGGGTTGACATCATACATAATTAAGTGGGCATTTGAAAAGAGGGTACTATTGCCTGATTGCCCAGGGGAAGCGTGAAACTCACTTTTAGCTTTGATCATCGACTGTCGATCGTGGTCGTTGACCACTTGCAAAAAGGTTGCTGGTTGCTTCTTGTCCGTGGAGAAACACCGCATTTTCCCCGGAAACGCAATGAATCGGATCAGGGTACCTGCAAATACGTTTTTTCCCACGTCCTAGGGAAGGACCTCCATGTAACTTACCTTAGTTGTGTAGTTGTTTGTGCAGGTGTTCCGAAAAAAGGAATCTCTTGGATATTGACAGGGAAAGCGCAAGGACACCGACCAGCTTTTTTGGAGTTCCCCCCCCATTTTTGCAAAGCACCCAAATGGGGTCGTCTCAAGATGGGGACCTTGAAATGGTGACATTCCTGGTGTTCTTTCCTGTAAAACCACCAAAAGAAGGGGGTACCCTCCCCGCAAGAAAAAAACAAACACACCCACCCCACCCCCTCCCCCCCCAGGAACAAAAAACAACACGCACCCTCCCCCCGCCCAAGAAAAAAAAGGACACACCACAAGAGCGAGGAAACTTCAGCCCTACCCCAAGCTCCCTAAAAAGCGGCATATCCCAAGGCGCCGCTGCCGTCACGCGCGTAGACCGGGGTCACCGTCTGCTGCGACACCGCCGCCTCCGTCAGAGGCGAAGCCATCAAAAGGTTCCCCTAGCCTCCATTTGAGCCACAATCAAAACCAGGTATTAAAATGGTGAACGCAGAACCATGCTTCAAGAATTAAGAAGGCGGATATCTGCAGCTATTTATGGCTGGGATTGGCCCTTACTAACCTTCATCTACCCAGGTTTTGATTGTGGATCATTTGCTTAAGTCCGCTGGAAAAAATATAATAATTCCAGTAGTAATAGATTCCTTTTAAAACCAACAGGGGAAAATAACAAATGTTCTTAACCAAATGGAAGACAGAGGAAAGTCGTCGTTGACGTTGGAAGGGGAGCAGCAATTTTCAGATTCTAGCAGTTCAGTGGTTGGATTTCAACCACTCAACCACAACAAGCAAAAATGTAAGATGTTTCCCAACAACAACCATGAAGTGGGCTTCCATCGACACCAGTCAGGTTCCATCTTTGGGAGGGCAACAAATCCAGGTCCCATTCTCCACCACGCCTTCCTTACATGGTCAGACGGCATATGGAAATTTCTAGACTCGACGGACTCTACAGGCAAGCCTTTGATCAGGATGGATGTTTCAGAAACGTTCGCCTCCAACTTGCTAGTCCTTGCAAGAACTGAATGGCTGCTTGTGGGGTTGATATGTAAGGTTGCACCACCCGATTGTTCAACCATGTTTCACCCACTACAGTTGAAACAACCTCCTGTTGGTGTTCCTTCTCAGTCGGCCAGGGGCTGGTTGTGTAATCACATGTTGCCGAACCCTTGAATTGCCAACAAAAACTAGATTATTTGAAATGACATGTTGCATCAACCGGGGGCAGGTTAGCTGCACTTGCAAGAGGCACAGTTGCACACATGTGCAACTCGTATGCGTTGTTCCAGCGTTTTTGTGGAACACTTGCTTTGCGGGGGTTGTATAGGGGGGTTAGGGGGGGTCTGTCCTCGTGCTGGTCGCGATGCGCAACATCGGCGCTGGCATCGCACTACAAGACCAACACAGCCCTCGTCACGAAAGTTTGCGGCACGTGCAGAAGACATAGTCGTTCACGCACGCAGAGCATGTTTTAGCAGCATTTGCGCAGCAACCTTTCCCTGCGTTGGCTCAACATATACGCTGCAGGATATGGGTCGTGGGGAAGCTAGATGGGCGTTGGACCAGCTGGCCGTGCGCATCATGGGTTGGTGGCGCCAGGCCGGCTCGATCCTTTACACGAAGCGCGGCTACCCAACATGTTGCTTTGCACTTGTTCAAGCACATTCCGCGCACATAGAACGAGCTGGATTGATCCAAGTAGAAGCCAAACACTGGGTGGGCCCGAGCTCGGCAATTCTACATGAAAACCTTGAAAAATTGAACCTTGCCGCACCAGCTTTCCAGGTCTGGGCCGTAGTGATTTTGCGAGCTTGCATGCCCTACACTTGAAATCCAACAGATTTTGTTTGATGGGACATTTGCGAGCGGAATTGCTCGGAAGAGCCAGGAAACAACTTCCCCGTACGTGACCCCATAAGATCCGAAATGATGCGAAACGCCTCATGCCATGCGACACGTGTCCTCCTTGAAGAGTACCGGTGGAAACATAAGGGGAATCCCACCCATTTTTTGGGGCTCCCTTTTTCAGCTGATTGAACAATTGGCAGCCAAGGGTCTCGAAATTTTGTTCTCAGGGTCCCCCATGTTTGTTTCACATCTGCTACACCCTCTGCAGACGTACCATTTGAGAGCACACCCTTTTGATGTCTCTCCTAAACGGACCATAGACTACTGCAAATCCTGATCGAACCTCAAAATCAAGGTTTCCCACACTTCACTGGCCTGCAGCAACAGTTTGGTGGACAAAAAAGGGAACCCCGTGACAAAGAGTGGACTCCTATCTTCCTATAGGCCTGACATGGCCTTACCTCCATTCAACCGAAGAAACCGAACCAGAACTGGGTCCAGTAGAGAGGTTAGAATAAGGGCACCAACTTGTTTCGGGAGTCCATATTTAGTAGGGGAACCCAGGCCCAAAACCCCAAAAAAAGAAAGGGGTGAGAGGTCGGGCACCTAGCTGGGGGACCTAGCCTTGCACACGGGGCAGCTGCTCCAGCCGTTGCTGGGCTGCAAATTCCCCAGGCTGGACCTCGGCTCCGGCTGCTCGTTGGCTCGTTGGCCAAGGGAAACCAGGAGGCTGTTTCAACTGAAAGGTGCTTTTCGAGGGCGCCCTCCTGTCCTCACATGGAACCCACCAGAGAGTCCCTTCTGAAAAAAAAGATCCTTCCCCAAAAAGGCGGTGCTTACAGATGTTTGCCTTTTGGCTTCCCCAAAAAAAACACCAAGAAGGCAACCCCCTACCAAACGACCCTCTCATTGATCTTTCTTGAGGGTATCTAGTTTGGAGTTGGTTTTCTCTCCCACAATTGAGACACCCCCAAACCAACTTCCGGTTTGACACATACCCATGTTGCTCAAAGACTTGCCAAAGAAAAGGGCAGAATGGGTGGTAGAACGCAACTGTCACAATCAAAACCCGGTAGTAAAATGGTCGACCCAGAATCAGGTAAAGAATTCAACAGGCGGATATCTGCAGCTAGTTATGGTTTGGATTGTCCCTTAACCTTCATCTACCCGGGTTTTGAGGACGTGGCTCAACCAATCAAAGGACACCTGGGGGCCCCCTTTGAAAGGGATGCTCCAACTGATTCTAAATCTTCAGGAACTCTCCTCCTCTCGGACCTTCAGCAAAACATGGCGCGGGTGGCAATGGACTGAATGACGTTTCGTGCGCGCGCGGTTGGTCTTTTAGTGTAGACTAAAGGTTTGGATTGCTTTATTGGATAATTGGACTTTTGGATTGAGCTGTTCAGTTGCTTCTTGTGAACTGTATGGAGTCAAGGCCAATCGGATACCTTGATCTGGATACCCTCGTTCCAAGAATCATCGCATTGAACAAGGGGCCTTTTGAGAGGAGCCTTCCGAATCCCCGCAAAGGTTCTTTGATCGGATTCCCGATTGGAAAGGATCGGCGATTCCAATGTCGTTGCAGTCTCCCGGCTGAACAGCCACGAATCAACTGTTCAGCTGTTTCAAGAAAATATATTAGACCGCCGAAATGCAACAAACTGTATGTGTATATATATATATGTGCATGATGTACGTTATGTATCTGATACATACATGTTGTGGATGTTTCTCAAAGTGGGGGAGGGGCTGCCACATCAAAGTAACCAAATTCCTTTCACCCTCCAAATCGAATCTTGGGACCCCCCTCCCGCCGGCGCCTGCGTGGGGCGGACAGCCAAAGGTGCAGGCACTTCCAGCAGAACCTTGGCTCGCGACATTTCCTGGAAGTATATAAAGGGGATGCCATTTTGGCACACTCACACTATAAAAAACTGGGGACCGCTCACCAAACTCCCATGTCGAGAACACATGACTGTACATCTCTTCACATTCGGGGGAACCCAGGACTAATGCGCCCTTGTTGATTAAGAGGGGGTCCCATTCAAGAGGGAATCCTGCACCGAAACACCTCCAAACATTTCACCAGGTTGACCAATCCGGGTCAACAATATCCTCCAACAATCATCGAAGCAAATATAACGGCTTTGGAAGAGTAGGTTCTTTTCGGGGAGGGCCCTTGTCCACTTCCATGTCTGTCATGATATGGTATACGTCTCCAAACACAACGGGCGTAAACAGAACCCAAACCTGCTATCAGAGAAACAGGCAAACAAACCAAAATTGAACCAATCCATAAACACTCGGACACGTTCACAGATCTGCCTCTGCTTTCATGACGGCAAGGTGATAGAACACGGCGCCAGCTACAAGGCAAAAGTCATGTTGCATATATGAACCCAATCGCACATCGCTTAACATTGCTGAATTGCGAGTGCGGAACACACTCAGATTGCGGGGCTGTCAAGGTTGCCTGATGGAATCTGGAAGGACATTCATTGCGAGTTCATTGCGAGTCCTTTATGTCCACGGGCAGTCAAGTGCGTAGCTGTTGCCATCGTTTGCTTGAACGTTAGTTTCCAGCTCTGAAACACACATCTCACGCATTATGCTAATGAACTCTGAGCTTATTGGAGAGGAGCCACTCGTCAAAGATGACGCTGCAAAGCACATGGCCCGCAACACGGTTTCCATGGGCCCCCGCAACACGTCTTCCCCCGAAGACGTGAAGGAATCCTTCTTCAACGAGGCACCCATCAACCAGGGCTTTCAGCCTGGGTTCCCCCGAATGTATGGAGATCCCGCAATGTCTAGAATAACTCTACAACCAAAAATCCGGGATTCTCAAAGGACACACATTATGGAAACACGTTGGGTCGATTCGTGACCAAGTGAGCTTGCCAAAATTTGGCAGATTCTCTGGGCTCTGTGGGTTGCGTGCCATGTGCAGCAACCATATCACGCCGGAAAAGACCTCCTGCTTATCTTGCTGGTGCTCAGTAGGGAATGAGAAATGGAATGACCCCGAAAAAAAACCATTCCTTTAAGGGAATCCCTAGATTCATTCCCTCATTCCCTACAGAGCACCAGCAAGCTGTGTTACATGTTCATACATGTTCACAAACTGACCAAGCCAATCTCCTGAACATTGAAGCTCAAAGTAACACCAAGGGGAACGCACTGACCTTCGAAGGGATGTATATACACTAACGACGAGGGTAGGCTCAAAAAACCCGCACCCAGAAACAATTTATGCATCTGGGCAAACAAAAACCAGCATGCAACCATTCAAGGGACGTTAACATGTTGAAGCTGTTGTAGAGCTCACATATACAGATTACATGCTCCTAGTAATCAACATTGAGGCACACCTCTGTGCTTTTGTCTTGAGTTGAGGGTTCAAAGTGGTTTGGTCAACTCAAGGTCTAGTGTTTGTGCTCCCTGAGAAAATGCCCCTGTGGTTGTAGTCCCAATTCACTGGGGAAGCAGTTGCTGTCCGGCTCTTGGGCAATTCTCGTTAGGAGCCTTTAGAGGTACACCTATACACAGGGACGACAAGGCAAAAGCCCTTAAACAACTGGAGATCTTCTTCAGCGATGTGTACAGGATTGATGTTTTGGCAACGCAATAAATCAACTTGTTGGAAGGGTCGATGCCTGGATGTCTCCTAAAGAGCCAAAGGAAACAACCCTAGGGTTGTAGCGTGGCACTGGCATGGGCATCAATTCTTTGGTGATTTAGCCCGGCCCTACGCGTTGGAATGACTGTAAGTTGTATATCGAATTCGGGCGTTTGGTCCAAGAGTTGGATGAGTTGTTGGCCGTCCCAAAAAAAGCAAACACAATTTGCTGGTCCAAGAAATGGATGAGTTATTGGCCGTCCCACAAAAAGCAAACACAGTTTGCTGGTCCAAGAATTGGATGAGTTGTTGGCCGTCCCACAAAACATGCATGAGGCCGCCCCACAAAAGCAAACACATTTAGGCTGACAGCCGGATCTTTGGGTGCCTCCCTTCTGGCAGGTCGTGTTCGGTCGTGTTCTTGCGAGTGCCATGCCGGGCCCATTCTCGGCCTCCCGGCAGGTGGCCACAGCGTGTGACCACCGGCTCCGAGGCGGACTCGAAGCAAATGTTGCACTCATACATGGCGGGTGTCTAAAAGGTCCGATTTGCATAGGATGACCAAATCAAGGACACCACCAAAAATAGGAATATGACTGTTCAACCACCAAATGGGGGAAAAATACCCATGGTCACTTTGGGGCTAGGAATATTGATCAAGCCCCTCATGGCAACCAGGGGCTGTGCGGGTGAACAAAGCTGCAGCTCCGCTTTGGGATACCGAAGTCTGTCGCGGAACTACAGTTGCACTTTGCTGGGAGGGACCCGGCAAAGTGGGCTTTGTTGTGAAGGTGAATGGCAGTTCACATGTGTCTTGAAGAGCCAGTGCTTAAATTGCCTTCGGATTCGGCATCTCCTTCGGACTTTCACAGTGAGTCGGCGTGGAAGGATGCTTTGCTGTAAAAGCTGCGTGATATGCAGACCGGACATCAATGCTTTGACAGCGGACTATGGCGATCGCGATGTGGTCGTAGGCTGTCGATGCCAAATCTATCGGCTAAAATGTGTTTTTAGTTTGAGACACAACGCGAAGCTACAAGCCTGATGATATGGCTGAACCGTTGCGGCAGCGCAAGTCAGGCGCCCAATGCAGAAACTGAACCTCGATGGGAGGTTCCCAACCAGCCCCACAACTGGATAAGTTGATATGATTGTCCTGGGCGTGTCTCTTACCGACAACATAAAGCCGTCTGGATTTTGGACATGCCCACATGCAGAAGTAACAAGAAAACAATGGCCAGCTGCATCCACGACGTAACACCAGTATGCTGGCTAGGTCCAGTATTCCCCTCTAGTGCAACACAACTGTAGCGCGCACGTCGAAAAGCCACACATTCAATCGAGGTACCCAGCACCTGAGTCAGGAGCTCTACTATGTGCTTGGTTAAAACGGTCAAAACGCCTTCTGTAGGCCATGGTCAAGTGGTTGTGCAAATCATTGCAAAACCCTGCTGGAGGATCCATGATCATCATTACTACTGTGTATCCCACATGCTTGTATCTGGCCGTGAATTCAACAAGGGACCCTTTGGACATCATTTAGGTGGGACTCGACTCATGTCCACCAACCACTTGTGAGGTGGTTCCAACTCCTAGAAGGGTCTGTCTTTTCTTGGGGGACCCCCAACATGTTTGGCTTTCCTTCTGTGTCCCTTTAAATCAACCCAAAAAAGGATCCCCTTAAACACAAAGATGCACCCAAAAGACAAAAATAACCATCTGATGTGTTTGTTTTTCCTAATTGAAAAACAATAATAACCATCTGATGTTTTGTTTTTCCTAGTTGAAACAAAAAAAACGAGGGACCTTCACAGAGCTCAAGTTTCACAGCTTGCACATAGGCAGGAGCTCAACCCAACTTCAATTGTCGCCATCCACAAAAAAAGTCGGACTCGCCTGCAGTTCGCCTGGGATCCAAAACAATCTCCGTACCAAAATTGGGCGAAGGTCATGGAAAATCGACTCAAGGCATAGCCTGAGTCAGTCCAATCACAATGGATGTCAGGCCTCCTTGGTGTTGCCCTACTGTGGATGGACAAAATCCTGCACCACCTAAGAAACCCTCGAATGATGATTGGCCTCAAAGTGGTGCAGGATGTCATCCATCCACAGTATCATTGCCCACAGGGTCCAAGTACCCCAGGAAGGTGGTTTTCAGACTGAAAAGGGCAAATGTACCACCTTTGAGGGCCTTCATTGTCCAAGAACTTGTCGGGGGCACGACAACCATCGCCTGATCACCACATCTTGACAATGGATCCTTTGCCCAAGAAATACCTGGACATGACCAACCTCCTGCACATCAAAATGGGTTGATTTGGCAGGGAAGTAGCTGTGCCACAAACACTTCCTTCACATTGAAACATCCTTCAGGGTGTCATTAGCTAACCAAATTGCATGTAAGACAGAGAGAGAGAGAGAAAGCACACGATCAGCTTCTTTTTGTCCAAGTCCGTTTGCGTCAAAGAAATGTGGAGTGATTTGCTGCGAATGCTACGTCAGCATGTGAAATGCAAGGCATATAGGGTTCATCGTAAGCCAATGTTCCTGGATCTGCCCTTATTGTGCCCAAGCTGATCTGATTGAGTTGCAGGGGTACTGCGTCATTCGCATCAAAAGACTTGGTTGCCGCGTGTACTCAAATAATACGCCGTCACTCAGGACACTGGTGCAAGCAGCTGCGTCTGCAGACGCTCCAAGCGGGTGGAGACAGAATTGTCCAGCACGGCCTCAACGCAAACAGGCACTCTGGAATGGGAACAAACATCGTAACATAGGTCTCGTTTTGGCAAAAACCACCCGGCGCTGCTAAATGATTTGAACCAAACTAAAACCATCGGTCGTGGCATCAATGTTCAACCAAGCCGGGCTAAAAAGGGCGCTTCTGGACCCGATGCACCCTCGCCTCGTTCATCTTGACGATGAGGCCTCCGAGCCTGATGCCACATTCTTCACCCGTGCCTTCCAAATCTGAGAACCCGACAAGGCTAGCAAGAGGTGATTCATACTGTGGACCCCGTCTCTTGGAGATTGTCGTGTTTGCCTGATCTGCAGTAAGTCATGAACCACATTTCTTGGAGATTCTCCCCATATTTTTCAAGCAGGTTCATCCCCCCTGGTACAAACAAATATCGCATGATGTTTTTTGTCCATCAGCTGCGCTGGGTTCCCAACATGGCGGGGTTGGTGTTGTACTCCATGATCAGCTTTGAGCCTCGGATGCAGCACACCGAGTGGATGGCACAGCCCTTGGTTTGCCGCAAAAATGGCAAGCAAACCTCAAAAAGTGTTTCTGGGGTCCGGCACCAGCGACTTGCTTGTTATATTTGACGCAAAAATCGGAACCAAACCCAAAAAGTGGTACTAAAAGTCCAGCACCTCTTGTGTGCGGTTGATTACTCTGGCCCCATCCCCAGAAATTGGGGCCACAACCACAAGACCCACCAAAACCAAAAGCGCGAAGGACAGGTTCTCTCGGCTTTCTCAGATGCGTGGCCATGGGAAACCAAAGGGCACCCTTAAGGAACCGGAACCCTTCCCCCAAAACAAGTTGCAAAAAGGAAGCAACGCACTGGGAAACATATTTGTTTTGGGCGAGAACAGCGGATCCGGTGTTTTTCTTTTCTTTCTTTATTTTGTGTGTGTGTGTTTTTATTGTTTGTTAATAAATGAAATATCTATTAATATGACTATTATCTTTATTATTCTGTTTTACGCATCTCTCGGCTCCGGACCCTCCGCTCTCTTCTGCATGGCCGCCTCCACCTGGCACGGGGTTCCGACTTTTTTTGGGGGGACGACCTTGGGGTGGACTGAAATCCAGAGGTGTCCCTTTGGAATCAACCACCCCTGGGTATAAGTCCGCCTTGGACAAGTCGAAAAACTGAGCCTTGGACCCAACTCCTCAATTCTTTGCTTTTGCTGGACGTCGCGAGTCGCGCCTGCTTCTTCTGAGCGTCCGTCAGGGGCTCAGCTGATGTCACCTTCCAGCTCCCCCGAGACAGGCACAGGCGCATGCTGAAGGACATGGAGCCGGGTCTGTGTTTGTGTTCGGTTTGGCTTGGTTGGCATGGTTGACTTGGTTTGGTTGGTTAAAACAAATACAAAACATCCAAATTGGCCATGGCACAAAAAGGAGACAGGGATTTTGCAGGACCCAGGCAGGTTCCGTAGCAACGCAAATGAGACCAACCACGTAGTTCTGAGCAGGGAATGAGAAATGGAACGAGCCCTACAAAACCCATCCCCCATGGTTTCCTTTCACGGAATCCCCCAGCAACCGGGTTCATTCGAATCCGTAACACTCGGGCGCGCTGGCTCAAGTCCTTCCCGAGCTCTCGCGCCAGGCCTTGCACAGCAACAGGCCCTTCTCCGCGCGGTAGAAGTTCTGGCCACGATTTGTTTTTTCCGCCGGAGCTCGAAGCAGCAATGGCGCATCCATCTGAGTATACGCATGTGAACGCGAAGTGGCTTATGGCGCATCCATCTGATTAGAACGCATGTGAGCTCGAAGTGGCAGTCTATGGCGCATCCATCTGATTAGAACGCATGTGAACGCGAAGTGGCACCTTATGGCGCATCCATCTGATTAGAACGCATGTGAGCTTGAAGTGGCAGTCTATAGTGCATCATCTGAAGAAAATACGCATGTCCCAAAAAGATACGAAGGATGGCAGGGGTCCCTTTCCAGAATGCTCCAAACAGGTTCTGAGAAATCAAACATCTTGCTCGCTGCAAATGGAAGCTGAATCTTTGGACGGTCCCAGAAGCTGAAAGACCACCGTGGCAGAAACAGAATTGGAACCCTTTGTTGGAACATCTAAACTCCAAACTCAGGCGCAAAAGTCGAGGGGATGGCTTCCAACTGCCAGGAACAAGGTCAAGCAATTCGCTTCTCGCCTCAAAAATGTCGATCATGCGGGAGAGCAAATGTGCCCGCTTGTTCTCCACCAAGACCTGTCAAGATGCCAAAGCGGCACTGACTCGATGGTCACGCTGCACATGGCGGCTCAAAGGGCCGCCTGGACCCAAATCAGACAACCCACACAACATGCTCTTCGAGGGACTCCCGGATCACCCCCACTTAACTCCAAGTTTAGAAGCCCATGTCACAAGCAAAGATACCAAAAGAGTACCAAAAGAGTACCAAAACAGAACTCTTTCCATGGGATCCTTCTTTCTAGCAAACCTCCAGACACCCAGGGCAACGGCTGGTTTTTGAAAAGAACGATGGTCGAACAGAATGGGAATCAACCCCTAGAATCTACAAAAACCAACAAATCAATTGAATATATTTGTTGGAAGAACAAAACAAAAACGAATCCTAGAATGGTTATTGAAAAGAACAAATTAAATCCGCAAAAAAAAAAAAAGAGAAACGGCATCCCCGGGCAAAGTTCCGAGAGCCTAAAGCCCTGATCAGGGACACCTAAGGAGTCGGCCAAGTTTCAACCTTCAAGGGCGTGCTTGATCAAAAAAAAAACAAGGGACTATGGAAAGGGGATCTTCTATAATCTATCTGAGCATTTTATATCTTCCACCTGAACATTGCCACACATGGAGCGTCCTTTTGGGGGTGACAGTTAACAAAGTGGCCACGTTCAATGAGCACAGAGTGTCCAAAATTAAGATGTGCGGGTGTTGAGTGGCACCACCCCACCTCAAGAAGTCTCACATAGCCTGACCCCAAAAGGTGAAGGGAAAGGCAAAGAACTCTGATATATCCGGATATACCAAACAGTTGACCCATTAGGAGGGTTGATGTGGGTAGATACTGCACACCTGGAGTGCTTGGGAATCCAGTTACACACTCGCGCCCCCCCCCCCACCCCCAAAAAAAAAACTGGTGGGTTTTTGGCATCCCTTTTACCACACACACACACAAAAAAAAACAACAACACCAAAACACAAGTAGACTAAAAACAAACACGCATCAAAGAACAGGGGCCTCGCTGGACGTTCGGGTAAAAAAACGCCACGATCCGGCGTTCGCCTTCAGGAAGTTCAACACAGAGCCATCGATGCCGCCCTTGTTGCACACTGCTTCAAAGGCTGCCACCTGGCGTTTGCTCGAAACCAAAAATGGGCACTCTCTAACCAGGTTGTAGAACAAACAAACGACAACACAATCTGGGGTGGCTTTTGCTCGAAAAATAATATGAGTATTCCTGTAGAAGAAAGATGAAAACTGTGGTGGCTTTTGCTCGAAAAAAAAACATAGGTACTCATGCAGAAAACCAAAAAAAACAGATGACAACTTGGTCCGACTATGGCTTCCGCCCGGAAAGGCGAGTGCAACTGGGATGGCTGCAAGCTCAGGCAGGTCCCCCCTTTGGCTTCTTACGGGAAGTTGAAATCTTCCCAAGCCACCACTCCAAAGCATCAATCCAAACCACCACTCCAAACCGCCAATCTTACTTCCCTTGTGGACTGGCCAAAAAAAGTCTAAACGTTCTGCTTGCCGCTAAAATGGTCTTCTTAAAAAGTTTTGAGTTCATGAACTCAGGGAGTGAGCAATTGAAGATGAACAGGGCAATCATAGTTTTTTTGACAAGAACTAGGTGCAAACAAAAGCATGCCGAAGCATTTCTGAGCCGCGTGGCAAATCGCAAAACACCACATCGTACTGCCATGCTGGCCCCGGTCACACAACTGCCAATTCTCACTCTGGGGCCTGCTGCTACCATTCTTGTTTTTTCGTGTGAAAGGTGTTGGATGGTCCTCGTCTAAAATAGTACACCATGGATAAGTCATGATACTGTGGATGGACAACATCTTGAACTAGTTGGGATGGATGACACCTATATATAGATATATATATATACATATGTATATACTGGGATAAGCTACCTACCAACTGGTGCAGGGCTTTGATGCTCTGTCTTGCTATGCCCTGGTGCTGGACACACCTCATGGCTGGCCAGGGTATAGCATGTTGCTCGGTATGTCCTGCTCGCACAGTCCATCAGACTCAAACCTGCGTGTTTAGGTATGATCCTAAAATCTTGTAAATGCAATGGACGACACATTCCCACATCATATTGTGTGCTAGTCTGTGTGTGTGTGTGAGAGCAAACACACCCAGACAACTCAATTATAAACCGATTCGCTGCGAGTAAGTCTGGCGATGAAGACGTCAACAAAGGTGGAAGAGAGAGAGAGAGATATCAGGAAGGCTTCCTCTGAAAGCTGTTGGCCGTGAAGCTCCGGGATCGTTTCGTGCAAATGCCTCGTAGTCGACTGGGTTTGTCTCCAAATAAGAATGGCTGGTTTCATTTAGGTTCCCTTCAAGACATACAGAAACGATTATCAGCAAAAAGACACACTCTGACTACATGCCAGTTCCAAAGTTCGATGAACATCGAACTTTATGTCGACCATCAAGCGAGTGCTTGGAAGATCCATAACCGCGCCTTGCTGTCAGGCTGAATACCAGGAGTCTCGATGGCCAACTTGAACTCCTGAACAACTCAAGGAGCACTCACAACTTGAAGTGTCTCTCAGATGCTGCGGGCCTCGAATTGACCTTCGTATATTTCGTATATTCAATTCAAGACTTGTGGGCTTGCAAATTTCAAGCCTCCAGGTGGATCAACCAAGCAACTCGCCATTTCATGGGAACTCAATGGGGACAAACTCCGCTTCATTAACAGGGGGTGTCCAATTTGAGAGAAAATCCATCACTTTTGGGGACAGCGGCCTACTGCAGCAGGCGGATTCCGGTTTCGACAATCGGGAGGTCATCCTGCGATTCCGACATCATGGACCGGATGGCCGCCAGGTCTCCGTACACCTGCCAGGGGGCGGAGGAGTGCACGGGGCATTCTCTGAAAAGCACACATGCGGAGATGTGTATGCCGTCCGCACTTTACATTTATAGCAAAACTCAACCGTAACTCGCAAACGTGAAATGGCTTGCGCGCAACATCAGAATGGGAAAAGGACATGGGTGATGTGGGGGCATCTCCTGTCGGCTCTCAGCTGTTGGAAGTCACCATTGGATGCAGCACTGGAATAATATTATATATAAGGCTCGAGATTGAACATGTTAGTATGCATTGAATCGCTACTTTTCAGAGACTGGGTAGTACGCCGTAAGTGCAAAGTAATAATCGAAAGCCTGCCGGAGTGGTGTTAGCAGCTTTCATAGCTTCCTATTCGCAACAGTAGCGCCATCAGACAGGAATAGCAGTAGTAGTAGTAGCAGCAGTAGTAGTGATAGAAGAAGTAGCAGTAGTAGTGATAGAAGAAGAAGTAGCAGTAGTAGTGATAGAAGAAGTATCAGTAGTAGTGATAGAAGAAGAAGAAGAAGTAGCAGTAGCAGTAGCAGTAGCAGAAGCAGTAGCGGTAGCGGTGGTGGTAGTGGTAGTCATAGTGGTAGCGGTAGTGGTAGTGGTAGTGGCAGTAGTAGTGGTACTGGTAGTGGTAAAATAATAATGGTAGTAGTAGTAGTATTATTATAATTATTGTTAGTGGTAGTAGTAGTAGTAGTAGCAGTAGTATTGGAAGTACAGTAGCAGAAGTAGTAGTGGCAAATGTAGTTGCAGCAGCAGTCGTAGTAGCAGCAGTAGCAGTCGTGGCAGCAGTAGTAGTAGCAGCCGCAGCCGTAGGTGTTGTGGGAGTAGCATTAGCAGTAGTGACTAGTACTGCTGCTAGAGCATTAGCGTTATTTGTAGTAGGGGGAGGAGGAGGCCAAATGCTTAGTTTAGTTACACGCCCCCTTGGCAGAAAAGCTCAACCCGTGCATCTCTCAACGCAGATGGCAGTTGCCTTGGAAAGAGCCAACTCGGCGCCTTGTCCAGCTTGCTGGAGGAAGCCATAAACAGCGCGGTGGCATACCGACCCTCTAAGGTGCCGTCCTGTCAAATGCAAAAACAAACGCAAACAAAATCCACCATTGCGTGGTGTCTGCAACGCCCCCTCTGCAAAAAGTTGTCAACTCTTTGTGGGTCCAATGTAGATGTTTCAACCAACAAGTTAAAGTAGAAAGATCTTATCAAATAGCCATACAGATTGACACATGCTCACGGCTTCCCAGGATCAGTTCACGCTGCCTCTTTGGGTCTGACAAGGACTCTGCCGATGCTCTGTCCTCCATCTTGGGCTTGGTCGCCTAATGCAACGAACATGCAGAGTGAAAGCGACGCCTTGAAGCTGAGTACCCTTCGCGACAGTGGACACACGCTCGCTTCACAAGATCTCTGACTGCAAGGTTGCTCCATTCCATCAACAGCCACAATTGCTCCTTGTTTCTGCAAACCCCTCACTACAGAGTGAGCCTTGACCAATGAAAACTATCACCTGCCGTCCCTCTTCAAGCTCTTAAATGTGGATAGCGCATTGGCTTGGGTGAAGCGGGACATCAACTACCCTCGAACGGGAACATCTGATTGTGCCAAGCCTTTCGCACTCTTTGGCTGCTGGACAAAACAATCCTTTTAGATCGAAACGGAAGCCTTCTTTGACAGTTTCCAGTATGCCAAGAAGAACCAAACCAGCCACCATGCTCAAACCAACACGCAGAACATTTATTAACCATGTCCGCGCCGCAAATTTAGTTCAAGTGCCTCGCGCGCTTCAGGTCTTACAATAGGAACACTCACCAAAATACGATTAGGACATGGAGGTTACTTCCCAAATCCCAAGTCAGTTGGGGGCACAAAGAAAACATGTGGCATGGGGGACTCACAAAGTGTTCCACGAAAACCAGGGGGCGTCCGGCGTCCGTCCACTGATTTTCCCATGTGCTTTAGAGGAACTGTGCGTGTGTCTCATTGTTTAGCCTCGTGTATTGAATGTCACTATGCAGGAATTCCCGAGGGAGAGACAGCGTGCCGATTCGCAAAGGAGAGTGATCACGTTAGCAGGTGGGAGGGTACTGTTTGCCAGCTTCCCTTTAGATAAATGGGCCCTCAAGCTAGTTGTCCCTACAGGCTTACACGTGGGCAAAAGGATACCCCGATCAGTCACGGATCAAATGCAGAAAAATCCGATTGGCCCGGTGTGGGAAGGAAATCGGGCGCTTGGTTCCAGATTGTGACTCAAATTTCCGGGAGCCCCACCCCACGTCACGTGGTTGCTAGTCACTTGCCCCACCTTTGGTGCCGACATTCCCAACATCTGCCAAGTTTCTACTCAGGTTTGTTCATCTTTTACGGAGCAATTTCTGATCCCCCCCAGCATAGGCAACGCTTCGCCATGTTCCTTTTAATCAAAGGTTCGGACACCCTCAGCACCCAAACAAATAGAATCGCTCAGGCTTCCCCATTTTCGTGGGCCTGGGTTGCTTTTGGGCAAAAGGTGGATCGCCTTTTTGTAGCTTTCGGAAAAGCCATTTGCCAAAGGTCCAGCACGGGGCGATTTGGTCACACTAAACACCGTTTCTCCAAACTGTGGAGCCTTTTTGGATTTCGAGGGGAACGGTTTGGAGGGAAAGCAGCCCATTTCTGGGGAAACCCCTCCCCCCCCCACCATTACGGGTATAGGAAGCAACCCCGTCCCCTTCCCTCCCCCCCCCCACGATTTTG